AATACCTTACATTGAATGCCATTTCACGCAAAATCCAATCCAATACAACACAACCAAACAATTTTCAAACCAAATTTCGCTACTTTTGCCTCCAATTCCCAATCGCACTGTTATGTTGTCTGCAGTTTTCATTTCATATATAATGATTGCACCCATAATTTGCAGCCAAATTCACTTCATCTCCAGCATCAGCAACAATTACACCATACGGTGCCACCACTGCCGCCGCTCAGGAGTATAGGCGCCGTCACACCAAATATGACCACATTTTTGCCGTCTATTCACGAGGAGCCGCACCTGACGTACGCACCGATGGGTCACTTAGTATAGCATATAAATTGAATACCATTTCTATTAATAAAGAAACTTTTGGACAAATTTTTTGTTACAAACCAAATGTGAAAATAAGAGTTTTTTCTTTCATTAGATATAAGTTATTAAAGAATTTTATGATTTGTAAACCAAATATTGATTGCAAGAATTTTTGTGTTATTTTTTGATTAAGATTCTTGTGTCAAACATATAGACAACTATATAAATATGTTTTTCGTGTTTTTTGTTGTATAAAGAGTTTTCTCGTAAATTGAATGAGATTTACATTTTTTGGATTAAATGGGAAAACAGTTTTAATCTCATTATAAATATAAAAGTAATTTGTTTTTCTCGTCTGAAACACAAAATTATATTTAATCCGAAAACTAAAGTAAATATTGATTACAAAAACAAAGAGAGAGAATATATATATAATATAAATAAATTTTAATTAAATTATGAGAAAAACAAATAAAATATTATATTATTCTATGAAAATGAGACAAATATAAAAAATTAATTAATTAAAACAAAAACAAATCTCACAAATTATACCGACTTTTGTATAACATTTTCTACCAAATAATTAAAGGCATTTTCTATAGAAAAATATAATTAAATTATAAGAAATATAATTATAAAAACAAATTGAAATCAAATTTATTTGATAATAATATATATTTTCTTAAGTGCCTTATAATTAACATTAATTTATTTGTAATAATCGATAAATTTTTTTAACTATTATTATCTATAAATATTGATATAATTATACATATACTATAACACCAATAATAACGACTGATTTATTATTAAAACAAATTCTTTCTGTTTCTCAATTAAATTGTAATATATTTAAAAGTAATTATTGAATGATTTCTATATATATTTCAAAACCATAAATTGTTTTATAGGATTAAACTTTTCATTCAAATGATGTAAAATTATACAAATAAAGTTTTTCCTTATTTATACAATTGTGATTTATTTTTTGTTATTTAATGCTGTTTTCAAATAATGAAAACTCAAGAATTCCCTGGTGAGTTTTGTGCAAACTTAATATAAAACTTAATTTAACATATCAAGAGGTAGGTTACTGTTGGCACAGAATCTCAGTTACATTGAATTCAACACATTTATTGTTCAAAATTAATTATATTTCAAGTGTTTGTGTGGTTGTCATCCAACACATAATAATAAATTTAAATATACGTGTATTGACTTAAATTAAAACATTTCTATTATAACATTGATACAATGTACTGCTATTCTAGTCTTATTTGTAAATTCTGTGCAATACTGTACAGTACTGTATAATTTACAGTAATAGCAAATGTTTTGCAAATCCATTGAATGCCTACGAGTATTACAGTTAATGTATTAGACTCTTGACTGTAAAAACTATGATCCTTTAGCGCCGCCTATCGGATATTTCCTGCACTTTATATTTGATTTACAGAATTGGCACTATTTTCAAATCCTGATGAAAACGTCCAAGGTTAGTTGATGAGCTTATTTTATAAAGTTTTTTCTTTTAAACATAAATGTACTTTTAAAGTTTTCGTGTATATGTCTAAATTTTCTTATGACTAATGCTTAACAAACTTATGTTTATAAATTATAATCAAACTATTTATTGATTAATTAATTTTAATTTATTTTATATAATTTTGAGCATTTTGTGCATAATTTTATACATTTGTAATATTTATATCAAAATTAAATATTTAGTATATTATATTCAAAGTTAATATTTATAGTATTTACATATAACATCCTGATTAGCATATTTAAACATATAAAAGCACTATATTTATAAAAGTAAAACAATTCAATCGCTTTCAGTGTCTTTTTCTTCCAGACTTTCATTTTCTTTGATGTCATACTTATGAGTGTAATATTGTTTAGCCATTTGTCTCAATCTTATGGTCATATGCTTTCCCGTCTGTTTCACTAATTTAGTGAACAGTCCATCACTTTTCTCGAGCAAAGTGTGTGGTATTCCGAACTCAACCACTTCTCCCGCATCCAACACCTAATTAGCAAATAATTGAATTCATTATTGAAAAACATTTTCTCACTAAACATCCCATTCCCACAATAGTACTTACAATTACTTTGTCAGAGTCTATGATAGTGTTGAGTCTGTGGGCAATCGTAATGACAGTACAATATCTAAACTTTTCTCTAATAGTCCTCTGAATGAGAGCATCGGTTCTGTGGTCGACATTAGCGGTCGCCTCATCCAAGACTAGGACCCTATTGTCTCGCAGTATAGCTCTGGCCAGACATACCAGTTGTCTCTGACCTACACTGAAATTACTGCCCCCTTCGGTCACCAGTCCGTCCAACTGTCCGGGAAGTTGGACCACAGACTCCTTGAGCTGCACCTCTTCCAGTGCGGCCCAGAGTTCATCGTCCGGGTGATCACCAAACGGATCCAAATTCTTTCGGACCGAACCCGTGAAGAGCACCGGTTCCTGAGGTATAATAGATATTTGACGCCTCAAGTCGTGTAAACCAATCGACTGAATATCGACGCCATCGATGAGTATCTGTCCCTCGGGTTCGTTCATCCGAAAGAGGGCTGATATGACGGACGACTTTCCAGCGCCGGTTCGGCCGACGACTCCCACCTTTTCTCCTCCTTTTAGGACACAATTGATTCCTTTGAGGACTTTATTCGGCGATTCGTTGTACTGAAGGC